ATACAATAACAAGCATGTAATTAAGTGAGCATGATGAAGTTAATGGAGATAATTCATTCCATTTTGGGCTTATGAATATTCTATTAGATGTTATCAGGCAGCTGGAATAGCTGTTAATTTAATCATCATTCAGACCAGCAAAATGTTCTTTGTGCGAGTATAATTGCAGAGAATGAATAATTGATTTGACAATTGTACCAGTGGATTTCAAACAGTTCTGTGCGCTCTCAGAGCAGGAAGGGAGGAGAACTGGAATACTCAAAGCAGTGAAGAGGTGGCAGAGAAGCCAGCCTGTAAATTGAACATTATCAGGACACAGATAAAGGACAATTTTTATTTTATCAATGCAACACAATTACATTACAGTGCGCTAGTAATCACTCTGCCCACACTTTAAAAAGGGAAATAAATTACTCTTCATGGGAAAGGACAAAAAGAAATATCAAAACCATTTAGAAACCATTGATATTGGATATTTAATTTTTTTGCATTATATTTTATTATGGGAAATATCAAACTGTGTTTTAAATTGCTGGCACATTTAACTCTGTTACCTGCAATCAAATATACAGATTGTATTTTACACGTACTTCTGTATTACAGCATGTTCTATGAATTGCAATGATTTTATTGCTTTTTTAAAAAAAGACACCCATGTTTTTAAAAGCTGTTTCAGGATACAGGAGTATCGTACACCTGAAGATTGTGATCTTGTCTTCAGTGTGTCAAACACAACCCACAAAGCAAAACAAAAAAATCCCTCGATACTGGCATAATTCAAAGCGCTACGACTATTTCACTCTAGTAGCAAAACTGGGAATGCTACTTATGGCTCCCGAAAAGGCAAGTGTGCCCATAAAACTCATTTTCATGAAGGCTGGCCGCAAAAAATCCACGCTCAAAGTAACTTTGGTGCCTGGAAGCGCACGTACTGATATACCCATTATCAGTGAGCAGAATGGCTTCTGTGTCTGAAAATCAGAAAACGTCAGCTCTCCCTATAACATTATGTTTCATAGCACAGAGCATTACGGTGGGGTTTTTTGGGTTTTTTATTTTTGGGGAAATTATCCACACGTATCCATAACTCGATCCCGTCTCGGTGATGCAGGACCACAGTTAAGAAAATGAATAGAGCCGTTCCGTGACGGTACGCTTAGAAGCATAGAGGGAAGGCAGCCCCTCGCCCCTGCCTGCGTGCCTCTCCCGCACGAGGATGCGACAGCGCATTCACCAGCGACCTGGAGTTGCGCCGTGCAGCAGCAGCAGCAGCAGCAGCAGCGGCAGCAGCGGGGCCGAAGGAGCTGAGCTGCAGCGGGTGCAGCGCTGGGGAGAGGGGGGCTCCGGGGGCAGCCCCGCAGCGCTCCCCCGGCGAAAGCATCACCGCTACTGCTCTGCTGCATTTTCATCCAGCTCTCCGTCCCCTCTCCTAAAAGCAGTCTTCTCCTCATCCTCCTTTCTCTTTAAGGTACCATGCAGTTAATTTCTAAACGCTGACTGCTGATGAAGCTGCAACTCTCAGATCTGGTCAAACATCCACAATGAGCATGAAATACAGATTTAAGGTAACTGGTCATTCGGAAAAATTTATCTTGGCTACAGCTCCAAAATGCATGAAACTTTGTAACGTATTACTAACATCACTTGAATCGGGAAACGCCCATATGCTTGAGAGACCAGTTAGATCTTTATTTACAAAAATAGAGGATTAACCTACAGCATTCTGGGACTTAATAATTTGGTTTAATTGTCTTTTTTTTTTCCAGGAATACATGGTTTTAAAACTCTATCACACGCAAGAGATGTATGCCACAGTGAACTCATTACAGAAATACCACAGCGCCAAGTGAGACATTCTTCTATACATAATGTACCCTGGCGATCTAATGGACTTTAAACCGTGTATATATGTATATATAATGCATCTGACGTAGCCAGACAGGCTATGAGAATCAGATCCATCCTACGCACGGAATAAATCATAGGTGAATAATGCACACAAATTAATATTTTTGCTAGAGTTAGGGTTTTCAATCACTGCCTTTAGGGACAAATTCTGATCTCAGTCTTTCCCAGCTTTAGCTCAACCAGTGGCACTGGAAAGAATTTTTTTTTTTCTTTCTGTAGTTAAACTTGATTCTTAAGGTAGTGCCAGAGGCACTAAACCAAAATTTTTAAATGTTTACATAGTCAGCATAATATTTTAATAGGAACAGACTCAGGGAAACTTCCGTATCAGAGCAGCACACACAGCTCTCTCTTGGCTTTTTTTTTTTTTTTAAAAGCAACTCTCCAACGGAATTTACAGGTTTTGATCTGTTTGTTTTGGTTTGATTTTTTAAAATATATCTTTTTACTACACTTCTTGCTTTTTTCCTTCTAGCAGTTAGAAGTGGCAAGTAATGAATGAACCCAACAGCCCATCAAACCAAATAATCCTCAACAAACTACCAGAAGTACCTGGATTACCATCAGCAATTGAGAAAGAACCTTCACTTGAACAACTGCCATACATGAACATAACACAGTTATAGCGTGGAATATAATTCTAACTTCAGCCTTAACTTTCCTAATTTCTAAAGTTGCCTAACTTTCAGATTCACAGTTTAACTTGATTTTAATAGAGTTTTTCAACTTTGAAATAGAAGAGCTAAGTGAAAAACAGATAAAGTGAAGTGGGCAAAAGCCAAAATGCTTGTAACGCTTTTAGAATATATGTAGGCTTCTTCACAGAAAATAAATTTTCAGAGAGGCTCTGCAAACCATTTTGTACGTTTTGTTGCCTGTTCTGAAGTGTTCGATCTTGGGCACTAAGACAAAAATGACTGACCAGAGAAGCAATTCGCTAGAGCAAAGGTAATCTGGATCTTCTTGCAGACCAATCTATATGGATCACATATACTGAAAAGCATGTGCTTTCAAAATTTCAAATCACTCCATTAATATTATTAAGAGTACAGATACTTACGGCTGAAAATTCAAAGGCATTATACATTAGTACATACATTGTATACTTATAAATTGTTGTCTTCAATCTAAAGCCAGAATGTTCTGATGAGCTATTCTTTGGTGCATCACTCAAACTGAAGAGAAAAAAGTGGGTGACGGTCAAGTTCCAGCCTAACTAGTCCTTATTTCAACTGCATTGCAGTTCAACTTAACTTTTCTCCTCAAGGAGCCCGAACAGTCACCCCAATTCATTTTCCTTCTTAAAAAACCAGATAGCTGCTTTCACAGCCTAAAATGCCATTTTGTTTTAATTTTTTTTTTTTTTAAACACTTTGTAGGCATCTGAACCCTTACTTTTAGATCTTCTTCCAAGAAAGCTTGCTTGCATTAACTATTTTCTGGGAAACTGAATAATAAGATTGAGATCTGTAAAAACTGTTTTTTGTTCCATTCAAGAGTCAGTTCCCTCCCTCTTCCTCGGCTGCAGAGGCAATTAGCTCCACAATTGCTGCTCTGAGTATGCTTCCTGTATTTTTTCCTGTAGGTGGCTCTTTAGTGAGGAATTCTGCAACATCTAACCAAGTAGATGGTTTAATGGGGATTAGGGACGGTTGGACTCGATGATCTCTAAGGTCTTTTCCAACCTAGAAATCTATGAAATCTATGAATCTATGAAGTACATGTGATGATTTTCCATGTCATATTCCCAAAACATAGGTCAAGAAGAAAGAGTGAGTACCATGTGTATATATAAGAAAAACCTCACCCCAATGGATTCATGGTTATTTCCCATCAGCAAAAATACTGAATGCAGAAATATAGCCTTGAAAGAAATTAATTTTCTGAAATGCTGATACTTTTGAGTCATTGTGGGGGGTTTCACTCCAGAGATTTCTGTTTCCCTCTGATCTTAATTTATCTAGCTGGTTTTCTGCCCTAGTTACATCTGTCTAAGACTAACTCTAGTGGACACACTTCTGAGAAAGCATTTATGTACAGAGACTATGTAAATGCACGTAGTTGAATTCTGCAAGTTCCTTAGTAGGTAGACAGGTCTGTTGATGTGGGATCAAGCAATAAGGAAACTTGTGCAATAACCCCTGCAAAACTGAAATTCTAGTTGAAAAAGAGAAAAAAAAAGAAGAAAAAAGGGATCTCATATTTAGATATAGTTAAAATTACCTTAAGTATGAAGTATTTCTCATGGAGTTACATTCCCATTTTGTTTTGAGAACTCTAGTGCTCACCTTGTTTTTTAAATCACTGTTATTTAGGTTACCTACTTAATAAAGGTTGTACGTGCGTATTGCTAAGGTTCTTTGCACTTCAACTTTTCAATCATGTTGCCTAGTGGACTTAGTTTTACTTCCCTGAGGGAGATGGTACTGCTTTTTTTTTTCCCCCTGAACTCCATGAACAAGCATCCTTCTTCACTTTTCTACTCATTCTGTCCCCATAACAATCATTTAAAGGTATTCTCTTTTACAAGGTACTTACCTGGCACGCACACAGCTCTGATAAAAAATGTTGGTGAAAACAGTTCCAGTAACTCACAGATATTAGCGTTGGCAGTAGCAACTACATGTGACCCATCTGCACCACACCAAGAGGCTCCCTGAACAGAAAAACATAAGACCTCACAACATTTCTACTATTAAGGCGGCAAACCCTCAATGGCTGGCATTTAACCGAATGAGTAAGGAAATGTCCATCTTCAAGAACAACACTAAAAGTTCTTAACTGGGACAACGGTGCACTTCCACACTGCCACCTATTGGGAGATTTTAAAGCATTTCACAAATATTAGCGGATTCTATCTGAAGGTGTTCCCATGAGATAGACGCCATTGCTGTCCCACAATGAAAGAGAAATCTTGGGGACTATGGTGAAGATTTTCAAAGGTATGCCACTGGTGCTGCCTACCTAGATGCTTAAATATATCTCATCTTCACCATGGAGCTCAGCAGTGCTAACACACTTTCCAGGCTACAAATATTAAGTCCTTTGAAAACTGAGTACGTTATTTAGATGCCTAAATGCAAGGTTGAAATTCATAGTTTAATCAGCTCTTTTATGGTCTCGCAGGAGCAGCCCGTGGCTGCAATCTGTGGTCCCACGCTCCATGGTGGTGCAACCCAGTGATGGACGCAGAAGGCTGTTTCTCTGTTAAAAATGACCAGAACATAATACGGCATAACATACGTTTTACAGTGACGCAAGGAAGTGAAACAAGTATTCAGGCTGCGTAGGTACTATATTATTCATAAAATAAAGTCTCGGCCAGAGGCGAGTAAAATATCCTTGCTCTTTTAATTCCCACCACCCATAAATAATCTTCCCGTTTGTGTTTTATTGGAAAACAACTGATTTAAAAGTCACCTAGTGTTATAATCCCCCCTCCGCAACTGCCATCTGTCCTGCAGCGGTAGTAACAGACCCTTTCATTCACAAGCAAAGCCAGCAGAATAAAGAGGAAGAGGAGGAGGAGTTGAAGGGGAAGAGAGTGAGAAAGCGGATAAATTCCATTTGTGCTATTAAAAAAAATAGAAAAGTGAACTCAGTGGTTGAAAAGTGAAGATAAAAAGATGAAAACAGTAATCTTGCTACAGAAACCAGAGAATTATGTTCTTGCTCTCCCCCTCTTTTTTTTTCCTTTTTTTTTTCTTTCACACTGTACAAACTGTAGCACCCTGAACAACTCACTCCCCTGCTATTTCCAGCACTTTACAGAAACTTTTCAACATTTCTGTTTGACACATATTTTCAGCAGTGAGGTGAAGACAATAAGTAAACAGGTAGTGAAGGGCTATTTAGAGAGCTGGTCAGTCACAGTAATAATAACGCAAAAAGAAAAAACCCCACACAGCACAGAACATCTATCCTATGCGCTGCAGCCACAGACAGCACATGACCTCTGACAAACAGTTTTCAGAGTAATTTTAATGCTACTCTGGATTTAACTTGACTAACTGGTAGCAATTGAGCACATCTTTTTTTGTGGCAGCAGTTATCTAAAATGCTACAATAACAGCATCAAAAGTAGAATGGTGGAAGATTGGTTTTCCATTGTGCTGCTGAACTGGCATAATGCCCACTTTAAAAGCAATTCGCTGCTCATCACTGAAATCTGGCAGACACGACACTAAATGCCTTGAGGAAAAAAAAAAGGGTCTTGAGAAGGGGGAACCACTCCAACCACCAAGCAAAGGAAAAGAAGGGAGGAGGGGGAAGAGAAGAAAGAAAAGAATGATGAATCCATGTAAGAAGAGAAAATTGCAAAATAAAAAGTTTAGCACTGCATGCAGACTCAACAGGCTCTACTTAATTTGCTTGAAGATTTTATCGCAGGCTTGCATTAGTAATAGCAGAACAAAACAAAAGCAAATATATATTTATGTCTGTCTATTGTTCTGATGAAGTGAAAATGTACTGAGTTACGTCAATCATTTGTCAAACACATCTTCCTAGTTTTATTTACCACCAAATATAATGAGTAAATATGTGATAATAAAACTCTTCTTTTTATACGGACATATACAATTTTTTCCCACTACTAAATACAGGTAATGATTTAGGAAGCTTTCAAAATGTCTTTTTACTGTCAATAAAACTAATTCTATTCCCATTTTCATGTTAAAAAAAGGCTTTACAAATTAAAATTCAAATTAAAATTCTGATTATAGTGTAGTGTGACAACACCTGTATTTATAATTTTACTGTCAGCTAGCTCGTAGTGTTTAACAATAGCTTGAAGCAGAAAAGTAATTGGAATTTGTCTGTAACATGCCAGATGACGACACTGGGCACTTTGCTGTGCTAAAGCAAATTTAGTTTGATGACAAAATAACCTTAGAAAGATCGGAAAAAAACCCCAAAAGGTTAAATAAAGTCATCCTCTGCTCAGGGATATATAATCTACTGTGGTAAACCAAAACAGCTGAGCAGTAGCTGCAGAAACCAGGGTACCCCTGGAAGTTGGCAGTCCTCTCGAGCAGGCATCCCTCAACTCCCTCCCCACAACATTCACCTCCCAGCAGCTTTTCTAAAATGGTGCATTATTCCAATATTATCATCAGTTTAACTCAGAAACATGGGAGAGAAAGAAAGCAAAGGCACCTTGGGTTGGGAAGAGATGCTAACACATGCGCTGCAGTTCTGTGGACCTCTGTGTGAATGAAAAAGGGAAACCACAAAAAAAAACGTGCAATGTCAGTGTGAACACAGAAGTATCCTGTGTACAGCAGTGTTTTCGTATTGCCCATACAGTTACGCTCACAGGTACTAACTGGTGCATACGGACAGGCCAGGTCAAAATTAGGACAAACACATATACTTCTTAAGAAACAGAAAAGAAAGACAGAAAGAAAGAAAGACAGAAAGAAAGACAGAAAGAAAGAAAGAAAGAAAGAAAGAAAAGAAAGAAAGAAAGAAAGAGGCAGCTATTCAACCTGAGTATTTCAAAACTCAAACACATGCCACTCTCCACACACAACTTGTCTTACTCAAGCCTACAAATTAAAAGCCCATGTTTTTCATTATCCTAAAGACAGAAAAAAAATAAAGAAAAGGAAGCCACATAAGAAAGAAAAACAGAATGACAGTGATGTTTTAGTTTACACTAGATATGGCAACACATACAAACTGTCAAAACTATGGAGTGAAAAAAGCTGTTATCAAGCAACTGTCAAGAGAGTCCTCTGAGATTTGGAAATCTTGTGTTTATTGTAACTACTGCACATTACACAAAGAAAGAAACATCCCTCTTCTTACCATTGCTGCTAAATATCATGCAAGAGAACCCAGACTTCTCCCTCACTATTTAGATTAATTTTTTTTTCCTGTGTAATTCCGTGCTTGACAGCACAGGGCCCCTCCTTTTTAAGGTTTTCTATTGTTTGGTCAAAGTTCAGAGAGAAACCTGAGGTTATATCAAACATTATTTCATTTTCAAGAACTGTCAACACCCATTTTATGTTGTTAACTTGTTGTCCATCATTTAAGTGTGGAAACTGTTGACACCAAAATACACAGAAAAAGAATTCTCTCTTAAAAGACGTACGTAGAAAGAGGAAAGATAATGGAAACAGCTATTTTACTAGTCATACTAACAATTCTTTTTCACGTATTTTAACATATTGCCTAGAAATTTTAACTGGTAGTGGGCTACAGTATTCAAAGCTTTAGTCTGAATGTATTAACGCAGATTTTAAATCACACTTTTTAAACATAAGAAAACAACTACCCCTTGGAGAGAAATCCTCGGCCTCTATAAGTCTTCAATAGAGCCTTCAAAGTATTGTTTTGAGTGATAGCCTTGTATGACCATTTTTCAACCAGTAGCAATATTCCAACTGTACTGATGACTGGTTAAAAGTTGTGGGCAAAAAAATACCTTGTGTTCTGCTCACTGCTCACTGTAAATCACATTTATTATCACTTCTACGCTTCAGGTGCATGTAAAAAATCATCTTTATTCTGAATCCCAGGTTTTACAGAACAAATATTTGATAAGGTCCCCAGATTCAGCTTGAAGTTCTTGAGAAAGATAAAACCTTCAGTATGTGTGACAATGCATGGTTTTATGGAGTCTTTATTGTATTGGTTCTGGGGAGGGAACTATCAAAGCTAAAAGCTCAGTAAAAGAAGCCTCAAATATTATTGTACAAGAACAAATGATTGGTTGCTCCTGTGAAGTCAATGCACCCACAGCATGTACAGTAAATTTAAATGCCTCAAAACTGATGTTATTTCATTCTAGATGTTATTTCATTCTAGATTTGTTATGAATGTCACATCATCTATATAGATCTTTGATGAGGAATAGATTTCTGTGAGCTTACTTTCTAGCACCAAGCATCAGATCCTGCTGGACTTATTTGTAGCGGCTAACACTCTGCAGACACCCATCGTCTCCTGGAAATCACTGTCTGCAGGTGTACAATTCCTCAGCCCGGAATTTACAGCCCAATACAGCCCAACTGCTCAAACTAATACGGAGATCTTCACATTTTTGCATATAAAGACTTTTTTTTTTAGTCTTAAGAGCACTTCTTCAAAATGTCATAATATTTATGATCATCAGATGAGAATACTTGAAGAAAAATTCAGCCTGACACATTGTATTTCCCACAACTACCATGACCACTTAGGTATAATTTTATCTCCAAATATTGGATAACTTCGTATGGCACAATGAGTAATATATTATCTCAATACAAAATATAAAATACAATGATTAAGAAACTTAGTAATAAATGAATCTTTCCCACATAAAACTGCATTGTTAGCTGTATTAGTTCCTAGCTTTTGCCTCTCAAGTACTTCCTCCTTCTAGATTATAAGAATTTTAAAGTACCATAACAATTACTGCATAAACAGCTGCAGCTACATGTCCACTTAACACAGCCCTTTATATATATTAATACCCTAATATAAGCTTACACACACACAGTCACACAAAAGATAAGAAAAAAAAAAAAAGAGGTTTGATCCTCAAAAATTTAAGAACGTGGAATAAGTCTACAGAAACTCACTACTTTCAAGTCTGGCAGTGTTGCGAGAGTGCATAGATATGATCCATGTGCTAAAAGTCTATTCAGGTACTTACTGCTCCATAAATAGAAAGAGTTCTTGTGAGTGAACTGCAGCAAAAATAAGAATGACTGTACGGAAGGTGTGGTGCAGAGCAAGAGTGAATTGTTGAGCTTGTCCTGGGCTTCAATTATGATTACGTTTAGAATCATTAAAGTATGTAAGACATACTGAAATTACCCTGACACATCAAGGTCTTTTCATCTCATATAGCCTACAAAATACCCTTTGAAAGTTCATAAAAGCACTGGGTTAGCTGTCTTTTTTAAAGTCTGGTCTGACTGAGAAGCTTGCCTGCCAAATCTTCTCCTTCATATATACTTCCTAAGGGTTAGGAGGCAGAGCTAAAAAAGAAAAGATGAGAGAGAGAGGGTCATTATAGCTGAAATTCAACACATTAAACTTGGCACCATCAAAATAAAGAGCTCCTTCCATTAATCATGAAATTTAGAGTACTGGAAGATCTACCAGGCCTATTTTACTGAACAGGAAAATTCAGCACCAGAATATTGTTAAATTGAGTTAGCATTATCAGTGGCAAAAATATGCTCTATTTCCTATTATTTATGAAG